AGGAGGAGGAGACGGCAAAAAAAACCACAATTCTACGTCACATGTCCACATGTTGCAATATGGCTTTAGACGCCGCGTAATTTGCCTACGGCCTCATTGCTTTAATCGTTGCAATCGTCATTGCACTCTACCCTCTAGTCAGTAGCAGGTAGTGTTGATGCGAGATGGGATGAGATGAAGGAAATGAGTCTACTGGCAATGAAGTGGATGCGCTCGCTGTGGACACACACTTACGATCCTTCACACGCTGCCACTCGAACCAATGGAAGTAGGGCGGTGCCATTACTCACCATAAGGCTGAATGTAGAAGGCGTTGCCGCCGCGATAGCATCGTCCATTCGGCTTGTTTGCAGTACGTGGGAAGAGGTGATGCAGAACTAAAAGGGAACACAGTGAAAGAACAAAGTGAACCAACGGAGACGACTTCAGAATAAGCCGAATCGTAGGCAGAATGACGTTTCGGAATAGAATAAGGAGAATCAGTATTGGTAGCGGTAGCATCTCGTTCTCCGGTGGATGGTAGTCGCGGAATTGACCACTGGCACGTGTTGCTGCACGCGGTGTGTCTCGTGATCCGTTGTAAATGACGTGCGTGTTGGTGCAGGTTGGTGAGTTAGCGCCTTACGATGGAAAGGAGAGAAAGTGGGGGAGAGGGGGTTTAGAAGGATGAGGAGGAGGAGGGGGATGACTGACCTTCTGACATTGATTCACCTCGCTGTCCTCCCCACCTTCTACGATAGCTCGAGTTTTAGCAGGATGGGAGGATTACAAAAGGCCCAATTTGAAGCCTGTTGGCATGCGAAACTCATGCAGTAATGCTTTATGGGCTACAGGCATTGGCAGCAGTGGTGAGGGTGGAATAGGTGGTTGTGTGGGCGTGTGCAGTAGAAGGGGGAAGAGGTTGGTGGAGTGGAGCATTGCAGGTTGGGTGGATGATGGGAGGTGAGTTGTAAGTGTAGCAGTTAAACACAGCATCCGCCAACCGTGAAAGCAGGTAGCAGACAGCACCATCGTCGCTGTCTGCTCGCAAATATGCGCGAATAGGTACGCAGAGTGGGCGCGAACGACATTCACCTGCTAGTGGGGGATGGAATGTGGAAATGCACTGTAGCATTTAGCAGTCTCTCCATTTGCTGTGCACGCGGTCGCCTCCACACACTTCCGTAGCACCACATTCTCCCATCTCCGCCACGACGTCACCGACAAGTAGCGAGCATCTTCAACACCATTGCATCACCACATCGCATCACTCCACCACTTAGCAGCATGTCGCTGCAGTCACCACCAAATGCACTCTCGCTAGCACCACATCATGAAGACCAAAGGAATTTGTTGCGCCATACGAGAGGCTGCAACGAACAAGTGAGATGGTGAAGAGCAATGGCCTCTCTTCCTCCTCCTCCTCCTCCTCCTCTTCCTGATTACGTCAACAGGATTGTCTCCATCGGAAAGGCGTCGTTTGCCGGTATCGGCGATGCGACGAAAAGACTGCAAGCCACACGTTCCTCCTCGCACACACACACACACACACAC